AAGGGGAATCAGGTGTTGGAGGCTTCTATCTAACTGGGTCTCATTACATCTCTAGTTCCACTTTAGTTCACATGTAGTGAGCTCTGGTCATTTCAACACCTACTACTAGGAGCTCTCATCATCCCGATTTGGTAACTGTTCAATATTTGATTTTTTGCATTCTTTATAAATTAGCTTTGTTCTGTTAGAATCAAAATGAGCAGTAGTGTTCTCCACAACGAAATGCCTGAATGGTGAGTCAGATGCTTATTTGAGGACTCCAACTCACTCCTGTGAGTAAAAGGTATTTCAAAGTGTGCACCACTGCCTCACTATGTTTCCTCCATCCCACTCAACAATCGTGCGATTCATGCATCTTAGCGAGAATACAGCCCCCTTGAAGTAAGTCCAACATCAGCTGATTTCACTAATTCGTCCTCAAACAATCATATGCCTCATCGAAACGTGAGCCAATGCACTGATTGAAGGTTGAATATGAAGGTGAATAATCATAGGATGTCAAGTGTACAGCACTTTGCTTCTTGTTTACGGCAGGAGCCAAAAGAATGGTTGTGCGTATGCAAAAGAAAATAAATATTGCGCGGAATGTGATTTTTCCCTCTGTCATATACATTAACGAATTGCACACATGTTATTTGTGTGAACCAAAGTGGATTAGGATTGGAAGTGGTCAATAGTTGGAATGGAATTGAGTGAAGCTCTCTCATAGCCTTCAAATTCCCCCCCTCTTAAATGCAATTTACTCTTACTGCATTCATATTCTTTGGCATCTAGTTCCAGTCTACTCGTTTCTGCCTCGACGTAACACAAATGTAATCAATTAATTGCATAATAATCAGTTGCAAAACACGAGTTTCATACAGTAGTATTTCCAATGTAAACATTACCTTTGTGAGTCATTAAAAATGCTGATACACAGATTCAAATAACATCAGTGCCTTATGCTATTCATTTATGATCGGAAAATGTAAACCGACGTATCATTTAAGCCATCTGTTCGTTGTTGGCTTCATTAACATTTGGAGTAAATAGTTGTCGCTATAGTTGCATAATTGTGTTATCTGTTTCCTACGCTCGTGGGGCTCAATCGCCCTTTGGCCCCAAGTTTTACCTGAGTGTCTTAAGTGAGTGAATGAAGAAAATGGAAAATTCACGAAGATAAGGAAGAGTTATTTCAACAAAAGGCGGTGTTTTGTGGTAGATAAAGGCACGATTGTACATTCGTAAGAGAAAAATTTACAAGACGCACCATGTGGAGGTAAGTCTATCACACACCCCACCAATATCAATTTTTGAGTCTGGCTTAAGCGTTTGACGAAATTCGTGTTTCCCACTATGGAGTGTTCACGAAGCTGACCCAATAGGAACAATGCATTCATGCTGAAGAATGCGACTAAATCAAAATTCACCGGGAATTCATAACACTACAGTGGCTTTCACAATCGTTAGTTTTGGTTACATCGAAATAATAATGCAAAACAAGAATAATGTTACCAGGGGGGTGGGGGCGACCGTGGAATTTGTTGTGTAGGGAGGAAGTGTGGTCGTGAGCTGAGAGACCTCTCAGACAGCCGCCAATCAACGGTACTTGCATTGCGTGGCTAACACGTTATTGTACCCCAATGAGCAAGTACTGAGACATACACAGAGGAAATGAATCAATTCTACGTCAAATGCCGCAACAGTAAACAATAAATCAATGAGATTTTAATCTTATCGATAATGACTATTAAAAAGATTTCAGTAATACTAGAGTCTAAATAAATTTATATGTATTTGATTATGGGATGCTAAAGTCATTAGCGAAATGGACATGGAATTTGAAAGAAGTAAGAGTCAAGGAAGATTACAAAATCGAGGTTAAAAGGCAAAATAGAAACATTGTAGCAACATTGATGACAAAAGAAGGGGTTCTTCAAACGGTTTCAATAAATGAAGGTTAAATGTAGGATCGCAGGGCAGGCGGATAAGACGAGTTAATTGTTACGAAGTAGCCCAGCCCCTAAGCCGACACATGCACATATCACACGTATTCAATGTGCATCGTAGTCCCACCCACAAATGTTGGCGACAACAGCTACTGAAGCACCTAGGTAGAGAGGAGGAGAAGAATGAGGAGGACGTTCCAACTTCGACACATCCTCGAGAGTGACAAACACTCAATCTCGTCGTCGCGCTGAGAGCTGTACTTAATCCCACTTGAACTAACAACCCCCACTTATTGTTGTACAGTTTGATCTCCCCAAATGACTTGCTTCTCAAAGAGTGCCTAAGATGTCAAAGGGTTCCTTCTTCCCTATTGGCAAACCAGTTTGCATTTAACGAACCCCAATTCAAATTCGAAAGTCTCTCTTTCTCATTTACTTCCAATGACATTGTGCACAACACAGACACAAAGACATTTACAGTCTGCACTGCACTTAGAGAACCTCAACCTCAACCTCTACCCTACACGATACCGATTCCTTGCCCTCTTGGCACCGATGTTAACTGTCCTCTGTGGCCAACTAGGCTCCAATAAGGCAGGCACATAGGCGCACACAATTTGTGGCATCCTCAAATGGCATTCTCTTGGTGATCTGGTGTCTTTCAATGAACGTTAAGTGCGGGTCGCAAGACAGGCGACAATTATCTGAACTGTCAAACTCCGTTATTTCTAGAAGTGAAATCTTATTGACAGTTATTATCTTTACACTCCTTCAAATCGACAGGTTCAAATTATTATTTCTTTATTGCTTGCCGTTGCTCCCTTATCTATAGTTCTATTCCTCAACCCCCTCCTCTTAATCTCCTCATAGTTTGGAATATCTAGCGTAAAACCATTGGAGAAAGAGCCTCTTGATATCTATTTATTTCAATATGGTATACTACGATGCACTGAACGAAGCCAGTCAAGAATTACTGTCTTGTGCAACTTGGTATCTATTAAGGTTCACTGAAAAATTTGTGCTGTTTTGGGTTTAGTCCTTTGCAAGGAAAGTCTCGGATCTCATTCTAGAGTTTCGCCTTAGAAGATGACAATAATCTTTCGAGAATCACTCTAATCATCCTTTCAGCTCGTATTTTTCCACGAATTTGTAGGAAATAGTTCTTGCCTTTTGACATTTATACAATTTTGCGGCCTTTTTTGTGCACTCCTGTGCTTGGCCTTCACTTAGGAAAGATTTGTTAACTGCATCTTATAATTGACGCTGTGTAAACACGCCTGTTTCATACCTCTAATTATAACCCCTCCACCTGATTAGGATGTGAATGTCAGCTATCTGCTCTTAATCTGTCTATCTTCAGTTTTATATATCAAGATAAAAGCCAAGAAAGGCTTATCTCCATAAGCTGAAGCTGGCTTGAATTGCAAAATCCAATAAAATTTTAAGAAATCACAAAGGGGAAATTGTTCACAATTTCTACATTTGCCAAGATCTAAAAAATTTTCTAACTTATAAATGCCATTATTCGTATGAACGGGTATTCACAGAGCAACTAGTGAATTGAATTCACATACTGAAATAGATTTATTGCTTGCTGTTGCGTCCTTATTTGTAGTTTTATCTGAAGTTTTAGTTTAAACTGGAGCTCACAAATCAACCAGTTAATTGAATTCAAATACCGAAACGGAGATCAACTTTGCTACTTTCTCACCTTAATGTTCCAATTTCGTCCACCCCAACCCGTAAAAACGGATTTAATGGAATTTAAAAATCATGAAGTTCTTTTCTTTTTGGATAATAGTAATTATTATTAAAACTGCTTAAATTGATTTCACAGTGGACAAAATATTCAATTTGTAAATTCATAGATTATGCTCAAGACGCTCAACGCCTTCAAAAATGAGCACTTCAGCACTGTCATCGTCATCATTAACTGCAAAGACAATAAGGTTATTCCTTCTTTTACTTTAAAGTGAGAGAATAAAGAAATCGGGTCTCGCTCACATTTTACAGCTCTCTTTGGCACCTTTACTTTTCTTAAATGAGCCAAATATTGGCAGGGTTTTTCCGCTAAAATAAATATCAACACCTGATTTAAAGCAGTCAAATTTGGTATGTATACTATTCTAATTATTTTTTCTAAAACCTACCGTTCTTTCTTCCCGTGCATTTCATTTCCTTCCTTTTACCTATAATAAT